GCTTGGCTGAGGTGGGATTCAGGATCAGGCAACCCCGTGTGTCCTGCTGGCACTCACTGGGACCTCCATTGAAAACAGTAAACAAGGGCACTGGGAATACACATCATGGCCCTGCTCCTGACCTTAGGAGAAAAACATTTACATTTCCTGTGATATGAGCTATACTCTTAGTTTTGCCAGATACTACTCACCAGCTTGAAGAAGTTACCTTCTTAAAGTCTGTACTTTAGTTCCGGGAGAACATGGTGGACAAATAACAGCAGCCACGGAGGCTCTCTGAGATTACCAGTTTAGAATCCAGGAGTGCTGCCATGTTAGGAGTCCTACGCGAGGAGAGATGTACCCTGCCGACCCAGGAACAAACTAGGCTGAGAGAAACCAACTGGAAATGCAATCCTGATGCTATAACAGGAACAGATAAAATCTCAGTGCGAAGCTGGAGCCCGCGCCATTGGAATTTCCTGCTGCTGCTACTGCATCCCAATCCACACGGCAGGGAGAGAGACGCGTGAAGCTCAAAGCGGAGAATCAGCGAACCAAACGGCGTTGAGAGCGGGACTGGCAGGGAGCCCTGCATCGACCTGCGGTGAGTGAGAGAAATGGGGACCCTTTCATAGACTAGGAGGCTCCAACAGAGGACATTCTGGGAACAAGCAGACTAGCCAGAACAGGCCCTGCAGTGACTTTAGTCGCATTTCTCCTCTCAAGCGGGAGTGGTGGGGAGCACTTGGCCTGGTGACGCCGTGGACTACCATGGACTAAGATCCAGTAGGCTAGCCCAAATCAGGTCCCTGCACCTGGCGGTGCACTCTAGCAGTGAAGCATTCAGTAGGTTGACCTGCAGGGGCGGGCCCAGCAGAGGCTGCCCAGGTCTCCCTAGTACACCGCAGTGGGCGGGAACACCTAGCCGGCACAATTCAAACAAACTGTAACAGACAAAGAGAAAAAAAAAAAAAAAACTGGGCCTCCTACATACGCTTGTATGGAAGGAACAAAAAGTATGGGTAAAGGGAGCAACAAGAAAGGGTCCTCAGTCCCCAATCCTGAGAACACTGATCCAAGAAAGGTAAATGCAAAAGAGAATGAAGACAGAAAACATGCAATATCAGACATGGCACCAATAGACATAAAGCAGTATCTCAGGAGCCTCATAGATGAGTTCAAAAATGAAGTATTTAATGAAATAAAGCAAGAAATAAGTAGAATAGTTAGAGAAGTGCTAAGCACCACCCAAGAAAAAACAGATGGTGGAATGGAAGAACAGAAAAAAAGGGGAGAATTGTTTGATGGAGAAAATAGAGAAAACATAGAATACATGAAGCAGGTTCAAAGAGATTACCAGGAAACTAAAAACTCTATTGAAGGCTGGCATAACAGCTTGAAAGAAACTAAGGATAGATTATCAGAACTGGAGGACAGATTTGTAAGGTGGGAGCATGAAATGAAAAACTTCTTAAAAATAACAAGAAAACAAACAGCAATAATACAAAGACTAGAAGATGACAAGAGGATCTATAACTTAAGAATTAACATAAAAGAAGAAGTAGGGACTCAAACAAATGAACTACAAAAGCTATTCACAGAAATAATCCAGGAGAATTTCCCTAATTTAGCAAAAGGTAAAGATACTCAGATGTATGAGGCATACAGGACCCCAGCCACCTACAACCCAAACAGAGCTACACCCAGGCATATAATAATCAAAATTCCAGAAATCCAATTTAAGAACAGAATATTAAAAGCCGTCAGAGACAAGAAACAGATCACTTACAAGGGAACACCCATCAGAATTACAGCAGACTTCTCGGCACAAACCATCAAATCACGAAGAGCATAGGGGGGAAATAATTCAAGCTTTGCAAGATAATGACCTCCAGCCAAGATTGATATATCCTGCACAACTGCCCCTAGAAATTGATGGGAAAAAAAGGTGCTTCCAGGATAAAGAGGAACTAGGGGAATTTGCAACCACCAATTCAACTCTACAGAGATTACTGCAGGATATTCTAAAAATTAAAAATACCAAGATTCTAGAAACAGTGGCAGAGTGGCCACAATGAATGGATCAGAAAACGAAATGAAGAGGACAAACTGACAACTAATGACAGAAAAAGAGTTCAACAGAAATGAGGCAGAGAAGGTTGGATGGTAGGAACAGCCATTTTGGAGAAAACAAGACATCATAATAGGTAGTGCTGATTTAATATCCTCTTGTTTTGAAGTCCCACCAAGCTTTTGTTCTTCTGTCTCCATCGGTTTTAACGTGTTGTATCTTATTGGATTTTATTATATGTGATAATATAAACAAAAACTTTTGTAGACAAGGAGATTATACAGAAACCATTGTTCATTTTCTGTTAGTTGATTCTAAATACCCTGTAATACTGTCATTCTCTTGAACGGTTTTACATTGTCTTGATATGTTTGATGCTACAGTATATGAAGTTATACCCAAAGATTTTAAGGGAAGAGACACTATGGCAACTACTATTATGTCAAGATTATCTTGTGGTGAAACACTATTTTGCTTAAATGGCTATGTTTTGACCTGTGCTGTGCTGTTGTTATGCCCTCTTTTTTTATCTCAATCTCCTTTTTATTATCTACTTTTTCATTTTTATCCTTTTAAGGGAAAAATAAATTTAAAATAGCAGGACATATTATAGTAACCCACTTTCATTTCCTATTAACTTGATTTGAAACTCTGTATTGCTCTCACCATCTTGTTGTGACTGATTTTCCTCTATTCTGTTATGCTTGATAGTACCAAGTTTGAAAGTATAGGCAACAACTATGACGACAATATGATTCATTGTGATGCCCATTCTGGTTGACTATTATCTTCTTTTGAAGTCCTCTAATGTCTCCAATGTTTTGGTTTTATTGGTCTTATTCTTTACCGTTTTGTTCAATTTTATTATAATTGATGATATAGGCAATTCTTTTTAAGATAAGAGGCATTATGGTAACCATTGTTGATCACCTTGTATTTTGTTTTTACATTATGTATTATGTCCATCCTTTTGACTTGACTGACTCTGTCCTGGTATGTCACATTTGGTTTTACTTTCTTCAAAAAAAAAAGTAATAAGAACTGTGGGAGTAATAAAACCCAAAATGTGTAATTGTCATTGTACAAAAGAAAGGAAAAGAAAGTTCTCTAAAAGATATAACTGCATATATATTTAAGTGTATAAGATAGATAACCATATTACTGAGTTTTGTTGGATCATTGAACAAAACTGTTTGCAGTCTCACTGTTTGAAAGTCCCCTCTATATGCTTTAATTTTGTAACTTGAACAATTATTTCTAAGATGACAATATGTAATTAACTAGTGATTTCCTACTGTTTATTTTTTCTGAAATTCTGTGTAACTTGTACCCTTTTTGTTTTTTTTCTTTTTTCTCCTTAAATAAAATTTTTAAAAAATAAAATAAAAAATAAAGTCTGTACTTCAAATGATACAGGAGTTTGAGTTCTCCTGTGCTTTTCCATGTTATCTTTCTGAAACAGAGAATAACATTAATTTTTCAGCAATCAAGCTAATGTCACATCATTGTAACAAACTCCCCTTATGCACATTATCCTTTTGAAAGGTTGCTGAGTTTCATTAGATAATACATTGTGAAGGATTTTTGTTCATAGGTAGAGGCAGAGTTCTGCACCGAGGAACTTCCTACATGTCCTTTTAAGAATGAAACACGGGGGGCTGGGGATTTAGCTCAGCGGCATAAGCGCCTGCCTTGCAAGCAGGTAGTCATGAGTTCGATCCCTGGTACCGATGAAAAGGAAAAAGACAAAAAAAAAAAAAAGAATGAAACACAGGGTATGCGGAAGGCTCACAAAGATTCTGAGTAGAAAGCCACTTACCTTCTGCCATGCACAATTCCACAATGCCCCAGGCAGCACTGGTTCTGCCCTGCTGGAACCTTTCTGTAAGTATGCAAGTAAAGCTTGCAGACATTGCTATTTGCTTGGTGGCTGGTTCCAGTGGGTGCTTTACCTTGCTCTAGTCTACGGTAGTGAGGCTGAGAATAGTAGGTATGAAAACCTAGTGATCAGGTGAGTAGCAACTCAGATTTCTCCTGCAGAGGGAGATACAGAGATGTTTATGTGCCTGTGTGTCATCATCACACAGCAGTCAGGAAGTCAGCATCACATTCAATCTATTAATATGAAATCAGATTTCAGGGCTCAAAGAATTAGAAGACACTCGGGAAGGCAGCAGCCCAGACAGCATTTGGCTTGCTGTGATACAGACTGTGCTTGCCTGTCAGGCGAGCTCTTCCTACAGGATGAGAGTCAGAGGACCGGTAGTCTCCGCACTCACAATGGTCTGTACACACACACATACCAGTCGTATGATAGCAGAGCAGGACCAACTGTGTCCCAGGATGCAGGTGGGAGAGGCAGGGCCAGCGCTGACTGCAGGAGGCACAGGTCTGGAAAAGGGTTCCGGAGCCAGGGTCTCAGAAGCAGGAGCTCAACCCTAAGCAGACACAAGGAAGCTGCAGGTTCTCTACTTTCAGCCAACTCTCGTTCAGAGTGAAAACAGCACGTTTTATTGTTCTGTATTCCCACAGTTCCTACCATTGTTCACTGAATGAAAAAGCAGCAAATCAATTCCTGCCCATGGGAGACAGTTTCACTGACTGTATTTATTTAAGTCATTAAATGCCCATGGCTACATGACAGAGTTTAAATATCATAACTTTGTTTTATAATAAGCTTATAAAACTTCTCTTCTTGTAAGGCAATAAATGACAGTTCAGAGGGTCTGCAAATTTATCTTGACTTTTTTTCCAATGATAACCTCATGCTGGACTCCATATGTCAAAATTTTGGTTAAATGTTATATCTTTAAATCTGTTTATATTTTAAAAAGATCTGTGATAAATGCTTATGAAAAATTTCACGAAATTATTAGTCTCAACAATACATTCTGCCAAAAGGTGATAAATTTAAAAATCATTGATGACAGTGCACTTTTACACAAAATATAGTAAAATTTTTCAGTAGACTTTATTCACATAACTTTTTAAATCACAAGCACAGTCATTAGCTATGAACTCCAACAATATAGTCAAGACTTATTTTCCTTTAAGGCACTACTTATGATTTTCTTTGAAGCATTTATTTTTATTTACACTCTGTCTTACGAATTAACAATAAATACATAGTTAGACATCTAATTGCTGTCCTTCATTTGTAATCTTATATATTAACAATACAGCAAAACCCTACAAATAAAAGGAATTAAACATAATCTTGCTTGAACTATACAAGACACAGGCAAAGGAAGTAAACATCAAAGAACAGTGCAAAGGAATTTTAATTCTTCAATGTTCCAGTAACTCACTTGTGAACTCTTAAAGGAAGCCTAATCAGTAACACTACAAAGCCTAGAGCACAAGGCATTGAAGTATTTTTATTCTATTGCTGTTTGCCACAAAACTTATACGTTAATAAAAGCAGCACAATTAAACACATTTGTTCTCTGAATTCACTCACTGAATTAACAAAAACAAATCAACTTTCCTACTACCTCTGAGTACTGTGGTATGAACAGTGAACACTTGACTGGCGCCAAACCCTTCCCACTTCCCAGAAATACAACGGCACAGGAGTTAACAATCACTTAACAAGATGCACAGAGCCAGAAGCTACCCCTTTTACTAAAAGATTTCTCAGTCACTATAGGAAACACTGGCTGTGATAATGTTCTTAAAGAGACTAGTGAATTAATACCATGTTTAACATAATGATACAATTATCTCTGTTTAAACAAATAATATTTTATCTCATCAAAATATTTCCCTAAATAAACTTAATTAAAATTAAGGTTACCTAATTTAACCTTTTGAGAACAAAATGAAAAGATAAAGAGGTAAAAGTCCTGCAGAAGAGTTAAGACCCTGCCTGGACATCTGGCTCATCCCATTCTACACCAAATCCACTCCCAGCTAGACAGCTTGCAAATAGATTTCTAAATCTCACAACCATTGATCAAGCTGATGCAATTACTGAAACTGTCCCAAAGAGAAGATCCACTAATATCAAATATTCCACTGTTATGTTCTGAAAATGTCTGCCATTAAAAAAAAGACTTGGAATGTGGCAGTTCATTTTTTAAAAAGGAACTACAGTAGAAAGGAAATTTTCTATTTTATTTAGATTAACTGTTTACCTTTATTGTAACTGCACATGAAGACAAAAATCTGAGACTTTACTCCAAAGCAATCAGTGGCCTAGTGCACTTCATATGCTAAGTTTATGACCAGTAGCATGGATTCTTTATGTGGGGTACAGAAATGCCCCCCTAAACTCCAAATGTAACAGATATCTGGCTGAGGAAGTTAGCAGTGACCCACTAGTTATGTGCCATCCTGGATAACTAACACTACAGTAATTAACATATGCCTGGGCTGTACCCTTCCTGTAGATTAGCTCTGTATGTGAAAACCAGTTACTAAGCTTGTGAACCAGGTATCCAACGACACAGTCGGCATGAGGCTATTCCACCACTTCACACATGAATGGTGCAAAGATCCAAAGACACTAAATTTCACTTCAGATTTCTTTGCTGCTCTATTGTCTAAAACGTAAGATAAAAAGCCCCACAGGTAACTACAGAAATCTCTCATCATTATTTTGACACAATCAAAATCAGATTTGTATTCAGGTCATACATTTTCTACAGCACTTGGATACTTCAGTCTTGGATACAATAAACAACAGGAGAAAGGTAGAAAAGATAACAAAAATTCATGAGTTTTTAAAATTATGATCTTAATTTGTGAGTTAGGAAGAAGTAAATAAATATACAGTGCAAAAAATAACCTTTCCTGAGAGCTGTGTTCTAGACCCCTGGGGCCTCCTACAGCAAGTCACAGAAGAGCTGCATGCACACACATACACACTCACACTCACACACACACACACACACACACACATATACTCAACACAAATAGAGAATGGCATTTCCTCTACTTCCTTCTGATTTTATTACAATAATCTTCAAAAGATTCAACTTTGAGACTTTAAAGGCCTGAGCATCTTAATAAAGATACAAGGTCTTGTGCCACGTGAGGTTTGTATCACATGGTGCTGATGGTTTCATTCATCTTTTCATAGCTTTTCTTAAAGTGGTTTCTTCATATGCCAGATTTTTGGAGGGGCCTGGCTAACCAGTTTGATTAACCATCACAGAATTTCCCACCTCAAGGGTTTACTTGGCATAAAAACTGAATAACACATTCCAGCTGGCTTGAACCACCAGTAGTATATGCACAACTGTCCCAGGCAGCTTATACCATCCGATGGGACTGATCCATGTGGCCTAATGGCACAGTCATGCACATACCACAGTGGTTCAGAGACACCCAGCAGCAAGACAGAATCATGGCCCACTATGAACGTGTTAAAGGTAACTATAAAAATATAGAAAGTTTCTCCTATCTGATACACAAAATTCACAATTGTTTCAATTTACAAATATATAAATTTATTAGAAAAATGTACCTACTAAACTTTGGTATATTTTCATTTAAAGATGTATCATCTTCACAGAAAAAAAAAAAGGTGGTATATTTCTCTGGAAAAGCTACTTAGAGAAACAGATGGTGTTAACTGATTTACTAGCAACTTTACTATAGTCAGGGTTGTTTGTATTAGTGATGCACCCAAAACAAAGCCCAAGGAAACACAAAAAACACTTTTAGCATGCCTGGTCTAAGCTGTCTTTCAAAGCACACTTTTTAATGGTTTTAACACTATTCTTTAGTTTTGAGACTGATCAAAGACACCTGACACCTGGTAGGAACCCCAGCCTGCTATTCAATTAAAGGATCATCATCATCATCTTGTAGCTGAAGTCGGGAAAAGGGGCGGGGTGCAGACAGTCTGTTCTGCATGAAGATTATGAGGCAAGTGAGCGTGGTCAACACCAACAGCGCGCCGATGACAATTCCAATGGCTTCTGGAAGATGAATGCACCACTGGTCCACTAGTAAGCACTTGGTGTGCCCAAGGGTTCCATTATTGGGCTGCGGTTTTAACCCCAGGATGTGACACATCATTGGGTAAATATCCACAATGTTCATGGTGCTCTGCTTGTAGCCTCTGTGAAAGGCAGGGCCATGGGCAGCAAGAAACGGATGCATAGCAGGCAAAGAATTATCATAGCCATGGTCACCTACTGAGAAAAGAACAAAATGCTGTAAGATCAGCCTTATTACAAAGTAACTTGCTTCAGGGATACACTCATTTCGTAAGTTGTATATAGCTTTATACATTCAGCATAACTCCTATCCACTATGATTCTGACTAGCTGCACCAGACAGAAGCCAGAGTTTAAAAAAAATACGCCTTTCCTTCGGCTCAGCCGTGCTCCCCGTTTCACATGCACCCTCCTCCCGGGGTCTGACCTCGGATTGCTAACCCTAGCTCTCAAGTGGACGCTCTCACTTCTCAGCCTCGCCCTCCCGACTCCACCTCTAGTCTTGTACCACTATCTGCACAATTCACTGTGGAACACCAGTGATACGTGAGACCAAGGGTCCTGCTCGCCTGGGGAGAGACAAGACCCAGCCTCCTCCGGGTGCTCCTGTGATAAGAGCTAGAGGGCAGAATGCAAAACAGGCACACCACGCCCCTGGGGGGTCAGATTCAGACTCCATACAAGAGGCTCTTGTACTGACTGTGTAATGAAAGCAGATGACGCCGACTTGGGACCCACATGAAGATCTGACTCAGAGAAAAACAGGATAAACAGGTCCTTGACCAAGCTCCAATACCAAAGTCCTGATTTTAGCTTTATTTCAATAAATGTTGTCTTTTTGTGTACCTCAGTTGCATTTAATACATTTTCACTTTCCTATTAAGTAAAGATAACTGCATAGTTAAGTATTGGTGTTTGTTACTCTTTAACTGTACTTGAAACATTTCATAATAAAAGTAACATGTGATCAGTATGACAAAAAGAACAGGTATAGTGATCTCAATAATACAATCTGCATATATAAATAATAGAGGGCAAGGAGGAAGAAACTCCTGTGGTACTTGTCTATCTCTATATCTAGGGATTATGCAATGCTTTTGTTATCCTTCCTGTATTTTATAGGTTTGCAACACTAAGTATATAGGATATCAAGATAAATAATATACAGACTCCACTAACTGCCTGTCTTGTCCTTGATGCAGTGGTGTCTGCAAACTCCGGTGTATGTTTGTGTAAACCAGTGTTCACGGGAGCAGTCAACACGCATGTGTGCTACGAGAGCAGCTCAGAAACCAGCTGGCCCACAACACCTAAAATATTTACCATCTGGCCCTTCAAAAAAAGTGTATGGAGAAAAGCATAAACATCAGGTTGAAAGAAAGTATTAAAACTGAACATAAATTCAGAAAAATTAGCTTCTATGGAGGAAGATCCATACATTCAGTTTTAGGGGAAAAGTTGCTAGTTCTATCTTGTTTATTGGTGGATTTTTTTGTTTATTTTCTGGTGCTTGCTCAGTGGTTTAAATATAGAAAATATAGAGCTAAATACAGGAAATCAAGGAAATGATTTTGTTACTGAGGAAAGACTCACGCTTACTGAACAATTTTTAACACACACTAGAAAAAGAATATGAAGTAGGTAGTCTCCCTCTGAGCTTTGCTTCTTTACTTCCTCTTTATTTTCTACAAATTAAGAGAAACAATCTTGAAAGTTAGTGACAGTAACCACAGTTTTGGTGAGGAAGTAAAACTATACTTCTAACCTTCCCCATCCTAATAATCTAAGAATGAAACTGTGGTTACTGTACACTGCTATCAAATATTAGTAATAGTAACCAATAATCCTGTGCAAACATATCTGAATCAAATTATCCTAACAATACAATGTATGGTGGACCCCTAGGATGCAACAGAAATAGCTTAAATACTTACATTTTGATAATGATTTATTTTGTACAATTGTCCACCCTTCATCAGCAACTAAAATAATAGGCTGGATTCGATCATTATGTTGATAATGAAATCTGTTAGGAATATCTTCTTTGAGATAAACATTCAGGTGAGGGCTACAATTTTTTAATTTGTCATAAACTTCTGTTATATCTATAAAAACAGGAAAAAAAACATGGTTGCCTGATAAGGAAAAGTATGCTTAACTAGAAATAAATGTTGGACAATGTCAGTATTAAACCACTTTTAATTCATAAAACAGCTGCGAATGGTTCTGTCACTGTGCTGGGGAAGGACACTCACATATTTCATCACTTGTACAGAATGGGTACTACTTTCACATGGAGCTTCTAAGTAAACAGAAACTATGTATTACAACTAATTACTAATTCTAGCGTTGAAAGAAAAACATGTTTTACACAAAAATCAAAGATTTTTTTAACATATTCCTGCTGGCTTGAACCACGAGTGGCACTGGCGTAACTATCCCATCAGGTGGCGTGGACAACAAGGGGTAGAACAGAATCGAATCACACAGGTACCACTGGACATTCAAGCCTGCAGGAACGTGACATGCTGAAAACAGCCTCTCGGCAGCAAGACAGCAACTAGTTTTATTGCAAACATGTTAAGGACAAAAATTTCTTTTCCCTTAGTGTAGATAGTTGAGAAATACAAGATCCCGAGGAAAAGGCACTTCAGACCTAATCCGTACACCAACTGCTCACACCGTGTACATTCGGGAGAGCACCCAAAGTGAGTGGGTATACAGGTCCCAGGCCACAGGGAGCCAGAGTGGCACTTTTCCATACACCCTCCCTCCATGGTCAACGCCCCGCTCAGGTAACAGCGATACCGGCTAAAAGTTCACTTACTTATTTTGGGAAGTATTGCAGCCACAGGGGTCAGATCTATGAGGCTGTAGTCGGAACGACTAATGCAGAGATCCAAGTTTATCAATCTGCTCTCAGAACACTGAGCCATCCCATGGTCACTTGTAATGATAACGTTGAGACTTTCCCACAATCCCAACATTTTGAGTTTCTGGACCAGGTCACCGATATGATCATCAACTTCCTTCAGTACTCGGCGCATGCTTTCTTTATCTTCAGGTCCGTATTTGTGGCCGCTTGCGTCTGGTTCCTCCCAATAGAGTGTGGCAAAGGTGACCGGTGGGCTGGAAGTGCTGAGCCACGTGGTGATGTTGTTTAGCCTCTCCTTAAAAGTCACCGAGGGGCTGTAATTCATAAAATAGGAAGGAGTGGCATTGTAAATGGCCACGTCAGTGCCAGGCCACATAGCAGCAGCGCTCGACCTATTCTCCTGAAGCTGGTTTGTCACCCAGATAGGGATCGCCTCATTCCACCAGAAAGGGTCTTTGTCATTGAAGTCAGAAAAATGTTTCTTTGTGACTGAGTCATACATGGAATTGGCTATGATGCCGTGGCTTTCCTCATACAAGCCTGTCACTATGCTGTAGTGGTTTGGGAATGTTTTCGTGATAAAAACATTTTTAACATGTTCTACCAAGACACCTTCTTTAATAAAATTCTGGAGGTGAGGGAATTCATAGTTCTGCAGATAGTCAGCTCTGAAGCCATCGAAGGACACCAGCAGCAGCCTGGGTGGCAAACTATAGGAAGAGTTCCCTGTACAGCCAGTCATGAGGCCGGAAAACATGAGCAGTGCGAAGAATGTCATTGTGGAGATGCAGCAGGGACAGTGATCAGGGCTCCTGGACAGGACACACAGCCGTAAGTAGTTGTGCTGTTGCATGCTTGTTAAGTTTCAGAAGTACAGCCTGCAGAGAACCAATACTCATAAACTTTACATGTCAGAACTACATACATTCATTTAAAATTTAGATGCATTTAAATAAGCTAAGGTTGGTGTGGACACGAATGGCCTGTGTACTGCCCCACTTCCTTGAGACATGTTCCTTACGATGAAGGGGGAAAGTGCCTTTCCCTGCCCCCATAAATACTCCTACATGGCTGCTGTGCTTGCCCACAGAAGCAAAAATTGTCCCTTCAGCTTAGAACAAATGAAGAAAAACTGATTTTTCTGTACAGAATACGAATAATACCAAGTTTTCAGTGGTTCCACGCACACAGATTATTTTCTCTGAATAGAATCCTATAGTTCCCTTTCACCCACAGAAATAGTTGGTGGAAATCTGATCACATCAGCTCAACTGTAGTCCTTACTGGAAAACACTGGCAGAAAAGGGGGAATGAGAAATAAAATACAGCAGGGTATAAGGGCACACACCTGTAAAGCTGGTACCTGCAAAGCTGAGGCAGGAAGATCTGCAAGCGCAAGTCCAGCCTAGGCAATTTAGCAAGATGTGTCTGAAAGTAAAAACTGAAAAAGCAGAGTGCTGGGTATGTAGCTCAGTGAGAAGGCCCTGGGTTCAGGCCCTATACTCGGAAAAAAAAAAAAAAACAGAGAGAGGAAGAAAGAAGGAAGAAAAAAAGAAAGGAGGATGAAAGAAAAGGGAAGGAGGAAGGAAGAAAGGAGCTGTTTGCGAAAAAGGTCTCAACTCAATCTCCATCTACCCCAGTATTCAAATGACAGTGACCTGTAAGTAAGTCAGCAGGAACATGGATGCCACAGAGACTTCTGAAGACATGCAACAGCCAGTGAAATAAATTTCATCATCTCCTCCTTCTTAAATTGCCATTTTACTGTCAAAGACTTAACTCTTCTTAAAAATCCAGGTTCAGAGGTATCTCTAAATCATTCTTTTTAAAAACAATTCATCAATTAAACAACCATCGCACTCCATCCTGTTTGGTCTCCAGGAAGACAGAATATATATTCAGGTGCAACCATGCACACCTTCAGTCCCAGCTGCTTGAGACGCTGAGGCAGCAGGATCACAAACTCAAAACCAACCTGCGCAACATAAGCAGACCTTGTCCCAAAACAAAATAAAATGGTTCTGAGGGTACAGTTCAATTGTGGAGTGGTTGCCTGGCATGCATGAGATCCTGGCTTCAATTCCAGTATCACAAAAAATAAAATAAAATAAAATAGAAACAGACAAAAGTATGTAAGATTTAGGTGGAATGCTGCACTGTAGACGTGCAAAGTGCCCTTTCCACTGTTACAGAAGAGGAGGGGAAGGCTTGGTCCGCTGACAGGTTTGAGGCTGGGACTGGTGGCACTGCCTTCTCCAGGTCAGCTACTGAAAGGGAGCAGGGTGATAGACGGGTCAGAGGTCTGCAGAGTAGGGAAGGCCTGCAGTGGTCAGTGCAGGAAGAGAGCGAAAATAGGGATGCAGGTTCGTTAGGGACACTGTTCTTCCTCCCAACCCAGAGGCCCTGGCACAGACACAGACGTGAACAGAGCAGAAAGCTGACTCTACCCCTACCAGGCTTGAGACACTGCCAAAAGTGGAAGGCCGCCTATGCTGAAGATGCTGCTAGAGACTAGAGCTGCAGCCCAGGGGTTGGCCGGTGGATGTGGGAGAAATGGCCTGGGGGTTCTGATGGACTCAAAGAACAGATGTGTGAAGCCAGGCAAAGCTGCAAAGGCTGTGGTCAGACTGAGAAGTGGGTGTCACTATTTCAGAGTGAGAAGACGCTGGTTAGGTGGTGAGGTACAGGGCTCAGACAGCAGCTGACTACCAACAGGATAATTACAATCGCAAGCCACTTACTGTGGATTCTTTTTCCAACCACACTGCAATTACCCAATGGCTGACTTTTCTCTTTTGATCTGTGGTATAGTGGCCAGTCAGCTACTCATGGATCAAAGGTGTAACGCCTCTGAAAAACAATGGCTTAAAGTTCTGAAGATCAAAGACCAGAATTTGTGAGCATCTCTGGGTCTGCAAAACCTCTACCATTTTAATCTGCGATAGCAACTTTCTGAGTGTGGGGCACAGAATATCTGTCATTGGTGCATTCCAAGAAACCAGAAGAATCCCAGAGCACAAAAGACAGATCACACAGACACAGCCAGACCACAGCTCAACAATTCCAGCTGTGAGAATCTAGACAGGGCTCCTTCCCTTAAATTCACTGTTTTGAGTTCTGTGCCACAGTGTTTATACACAACCTAACTCCTGCCTCAGTCAGTCTGAACCGGGCTCAGTCAAACAACATATTATGTGGGCTTATGTTCTAGGTTTTGGCAATTTTAAAACTTCTGTCAAAGGCAGGCAGGTCTCCATGAAAACTTGGAGTAAGCTGGGTGTGGTCACCTCAGCTTCTTGGGAAGCTGATGCAGGAGAATTGCAGGTCAGAAGCCAGGCGGGGCAGCTTAGCAAAACCCTATCTCAAAATAAAAATAAAAAGGGCTGGGAATTTAGTTCAGTGCCTCTGAACACAGCTATTTCTTTTCACTCAAATATTTGTTTCCATTAACAGAACAAATTTAAAACAGCAAGGAGATGGCAGTATCTTTTCAAGGGGAAAAGACAGTTGCAAATTTATTTTTAAAAACATTATTTACTTGCCTGGCTCTTCGCCTGAGTAACCATTCTACATTCCCATGCAATCTCACTGTAAAAACCACTCTGTAGCCAAATCCAACTGGATGAATGACAGAATGGGTACGACATCACGCTCCCAGATCTGTTATAGGTCACCTGTAGGTTACCATGATTAATGATAATTGTTACACTGAGTCATGGTGAATGGACATGGTAACCTACAGGTGACCTATAACAGCTCTTCCATAATAGTTTGTGCTTCTAGAACATCAAAAAATTACTTTCTAAACATGAAGTGTTGCCCAGATACTTTTAGGTCATTTCTGAAATAGGTCATATTCAACAAATATCTAATATAACTAAGTCCATAATGCAAAAATATATGCACACGCAATGTAGTAGGAGAAAAACTGCTTTATACTTTTCAAATAGCAAACACTCAAGACAGGGCTACATAATCAAAATAATGAATCAGGCAAGGAAAACACAGGCTAAATCAACTTTGTTCTACAACATCAAGGCTTCCTTGTAACATGGTCCTTAAGATTCATACAATGTAGTATTTTCTCAAAACTAAGCCCTTAGAGAAATTACTACAAATGGGGCATCACAGGATGTCAACAACTTTTCCAATCAAGTAAGCTCTAGGAGTAGAAAGTGTCAAGACAATTTAACCAATGGTGCAAAGACAACTAGTGATCCACCTGCAGAAGAAAGAGAGCACCCACCTCCTAACATGCATAAGAATTGGCTCAAAATTGACCCCAGATCTAAATTAAGAGTGACAGCTATAAAGCTTTTAGAGGAAAAGACAGAATCAACTCTTCATAACCTTGGATTAGATGAAATCTTGTGGGTATCACATCAAAACCACAAGTAATTAAAGAAAAAATTAGATTTCCTTTAAAAAAAAGTTTTGGGCTTCAAAGGATACCATCATATAAGTGGAAAAACAACTCAAGAATTAGAAGAAAGTATTTGCAATTTATCTATAATTTATCTAGCTGATGAGGGAACTGTGTGTATAATAAATAAAGAACAGTTATAATTCAGTCATAGCAAATAATCAATTTTTTTGGTACCAGGAATTGAACTCAAGACTTCCAGCTTGCCAGGCAGGCACTGTGCTGCTGAGCTATATCCCTGGCCCCATAATCAAATTTAAAAATAAGCCAAAGATCTCAAAAGGCATCTCTCATAGACACCACAGAGGACAAGTACATAAATGAATGCTCAACATCACTAAAGAAATACAAGTCAAAAACCACAAGACACTACTGTATACCTAATAGAATAATTAAATTTAAAAAACAGGTAACAGTAAATGTTGAAGAGCATACAGAGAAATTGGAGCCTTTGTAATTGCTAGTGGGAATGTAAAATGGTGCAGCTACTTTAAAAATTATTCAAAAGATTCTTCAAATGGTTAAGTATAGAATTATTATAAGACTCAGAAATTCTACCACCAGATATATGCTGTTGAGAAATGAAAACAGATACCCATACAAAATTTTGTACACAAATATTCACAGCAAGGTTATCTCAAGAACTAGACCAAATCAAATAAACGATTAAACAAAATGTGACAAAGCTACCAAACAAGGTATTTGGCGAGAGAGAGAGAGAGAGAGAGAGAGAGAGAGAGAGAGAGAAAGAATAAAGTACTAGAATATCCTTTTTTTTTTTTTTTTTTTTTTGTACTAGGAATTTAACTCAAGGCTTTGCACTTGCCAGGCAGGTGCTTGTGCCACTGAGCTGTGTCCCTGGCCCTAGCAACTAATATATGCTACAACTTGGATAAACCTTGGAACCTTATGCTAAGTGAAAGGTGCAGTTACAAAAGGTCACCTAGATATGATTCCACTGAGCTGAAATGCCTAGAATGGGCAAATCTATAGACAGAAAATATGTGAGTTACCTAGGGCCAGATGTTGCAAAAAATAAATGTAGAAAGGTATGCGGTTCTTTTGGCGGAGGGGATGGTGGAAGTGTGATAAAAATGTTTTCAAATTGATTGTGATGATGGTCATACAACTCCACAAAGCTGTACATTTCTAATGAGTGAACTGAATGATATATGACTTAGACCTCAATAAAATTTTTATTTTTTAAAAAGCAGAAGTGAAACTGTAATCTTAAATGCCTTACTACAAAGCAGGGAACGTCTCTGTCATCTTGCTATACCTCAAAAATCCTATGAATTCTGTATACCAAATATTTTAGCATGAAAATGTCTTATACCACTTTCAATATACAAAACACCACCATAAAACACACACACACCCCCCCTATGTCTTCAAGCTTGCATCATGGAGACAAAACAGAAAGATTAAAGACGGAAGCCAGAAGGGATCAGGAAGTGCACTCACACTTACTGGACAGATGATTTTAGTCAGTACTATTTTCTCCAGCTTCAGTATTGAGGAGAAAATGGAGACTTTCAAAGGTTATAAAATAGGTTCTAAAAATTGGTCCCCCTTTTTCACTCTAGTTACAGCTGCTGTATTAGGGGGGGAAAAATCTGTACCATGACAGACAGAAGAACGTTACTATGAAACTAAAAATAAATTATGAACAATTTAGTCTAATCTCCTTTTACATATGATGCAGCTAAATTCCAATGACTGCAATCAGCTCTTACTAATTTCATGCCCTCAGTAAACTGAGTAATAACCTTCAAACTAGTAACAGAACTCCACTTGCCAGAATGGCTGCTGTTTTTGTTAGTGCCTGGGTCTAAAATTACCACATTCTGTTTCACTCTAACAGCTAGTGTTGAGCTATAAACAAACAACCAGTGGAAAATTCTCAAGTACTTTTAAATAATGAAAATCAAGCTTTAAGGAATGAAACTGTTATAAAATATCTAGAGAAATTCTGCAATTTTTCACACCAAAAACATATAGCAAAGGGAAAAAAAAGAGCTGACCCATTCCAACAGTAACTATGTACAATGTGCCACCCTCCAATTCAGGGGACAAAACACCCCTACGTCCTCTAAAATGACTTTCCAGCCAGGACAGAAACCATGTCTGTCAATTCTCACTGGCATTCACAGCCCATGTGAACCCATGCGATGTCCAGGACGGATATGGTGAAAGACAATTGTCACTATTAGTGGCATGCTACCTGTTCTGTAATAGACATAGCTTCAAAATAACATGTATATAAACACAACTTTTTGTTTCCCTAAGATTATGCTCAGACAACCATATCCCGAAAAACTTTCTCATTTCTAGGATTCTGAATTACTCTCCAATTTTCTGATGCACATGAAATTTTCTAGCACCTTCAAAACAGTTACACTTACTTGACTTTCTACATAGTGAGACACCCCTCTCCATGTACTCCTCGAGTTTTCATCAGAATTTCTTGCACATTTTATTTTGTAACTAAAAGGAGAGAGAAGAAACAAAAGAGAACTCTCAAGCTCTTAAATTTCCTTAAAACATTTTGAAGTAATCCGGAAGAAAGGAAGACAAGAGAACCACAGTCCCGAAATCATCAGGTGATTTCCTCCAGGAACTAGGGCTCCCAGAAGGCCTAAGGGCTGGGCGTGGTGTACTGCACACACCTGGCCATCGCCCCGCAGGATCCTGGACACAATTTCCAACGGGTGCCCCGCACTTCCCTGTCCCAAACAGGACGCTGTTAGTTTACGCGATTGTTGGGTCGAGGGAAGGAAGCGTTGTTTGCACAGGGCTTACTTAACGCAGTATCCAGCCATAAAAAGCACTTAAACGGTAGCTCTCACAGTCTGGCCTGCTTATATGCCGGAAAACCGGTTTTACGTATGATTATCAAAACACACATATGCAGTTAACCTAAGTTCTGCTACTCAAACAGGTGCAGTCCGGGCCGGGAGCCAGGAGGCCACCACAAACCCACCGTCCGGAACACCGCACCAGTCCACCCCACCTCAGGCAGTCGTAACCTCTGACCCCGTGACCTCCGACCCCTGTCCGTGTCCACCCCGCCTCCCCTTTGGGTACCCCACACCGGACGTGCCCACCTACGTCAGGAGACAGGGCGCGGGTCTCACCATTTCGGTTTCCGTAAAATCCCGTGGACCAGGGAGGATGGTCTTCTCTCTGAAACCCCGGCGCCCACAGAGGTGCACACTTGCCGCTACAGCTTCCCGGCGGAACCCGGCGCCAGTGGTGACCAGTGGCGCAGGAGACCCTTACGAGGGGGCGAGGCCGCCTCCTCCGGCGGCGCCTGCACAGTCGCTATACGCGTGCCTTGGTCATAGGCGTCCAGGTTCCTACGCCGCGGGCACCTCAACTGTGCGCAGCCGCAGGGCGCCGCAGGCTAGGACTACTAGGGTAGAGTCTGAGACGCCTGCTGCTATTGGATGTCGGAGACGGCGTCGGCTGTAACTCCCTTTCCGATTGGATGGACGCATGTGCCACCTGGAGACAGGTGCCGTAGCAAAGCTGATTCAGACGAAGTACTACATCTTGTCCGCATCACGTCTCATTCTTAACTCTAGGTTAGGTGTCCTTCGGGGGCCTGGAACCTGATAAATCCCTAAAAGCCTTAGGCAAGCAGCAAGCCAAGTCACTCTCCGCGCATTCCCTAAAATGTGCCCGGGGTTAGGGCCCTGCAGGGTCCCGGGCCAAGACTGGATCCCCAGAAGAGCAAGTGTAGACAGCAGCCAGGACGTCCCTTCTGCTTGTTCACCTTCACCGGTATAGCAGCTTTTCTTTCTGTCTGCTCTCCTCCAGGTTGGGGCCATCCTTCCATAAACCGGTTAGTCCAGCTTTGCTTCTGGGCAGAACAGTGGTTGCCCACTCATAGAATCCCAATAAAGGCCAGCTAAGATCTTCAAGTTCGATTTGCTACAATTGTGTCTTTTTCCACAAATGAGAGACGAACTCTTCCCTTGGCAGATGGGCATGTGGGTTGTGCTTCTGTCTTTCATAGGAAGATCGCTCCAATATTTGGATAACATAACTCTATAAACTTAGCAAAAAGACGCCTTATCAAACACAGGCAGATCTGTTTATGCCTGGGAAGACCGGACACAGTTGGTTAAGAGAAAATAGGATCTTTTTGTAACTGCGTCGCCAAACACAGAACTTGGCATAGAAGTACTAGTAAATCATTATTTAACTAATGGAATGTTGGTAGGTGTTCCAGGCTTGTTGAGCCCTCTGGGAGAATATTTTCATTCTTATTCACTATCTTCCACTGATGCTCATAAATTCAATGAAATGAATAAGAACATTAAGCATATGCAGTATCCTCAGGTGTTGTCTTAGCCACTTTTCCCATTGCTGGAACAAAAGGAGAGGTTTTTTTTTTTACACTCATAATTTAAAAGTTTCAATCCACAGTTTAAATACAAATGGCATGGTGGAAGGACCTTGGGTGAGAGAAGCTGCTCACATCATGGTAGCCAAAACGCAGAGAGGAAAGGAGGAACAGGAGAGAGAGAGAGAACCTTTCAGGTTCCACCTCCAGTGTGGCCTCCCTCTCCCAACCAGACCCAACCACCTAACAGTACATCTCCTATAGCAAAATCCTCCTCCAAAAGTCCTTTTCTGAGCCTAGGAGGCTCTTAAGAAACATCTAGGTATAAACCACAACAACTGTTAAGACCTTAATAGCTGTTATCCAGTACCTGGATATGTACCCTGCACTGGCAGACCTTAAATAGCAAAATCTAAGGTTGAGTTCATTGGTCTGAGCTTGAGAGTACAGACATTAACAAGATTCTGGTGGCATCTAGGGAGACAACAGGGACTAGAATTATTCTATTGGTTTGTGACTTGATCAGTTAATTCCAGTGTCAAGACTTGGATGTTCATGGTGAACTATGGCATCCTTGATCCATGGACTGTCAGACTTAAGGGATGGTAGAGGCCATTAGTTCAGTCCTAAATCTTCCAGGGACTGAATTTGAATACTCTGCCCCTCATTAGTGGAACTGTATGGGGCAATGTTCCCTATCTGTTTGAAAATTAGTTTTCTCATCTGGCAACAGGCCCTGTTACAGGGTTACTGTAAGATGAGATAAAGCAAGTTCAGTAGTAAACACAGTATTTCATCATGTAAGTGTTAGCAATCATCCTTATTCCAACTCCCCCCAAAAAATGTTCTCTGATTTGCTTAAAGAGTAGACAGAAGTGACTTGCCGGGGGTTTTCCCCTCCCTCTGAACCTCCAGCAACCAAGTGACCACCTCCTTGATCACTTTGGCTAGAATAGTCACTTGTCTGAATCTAATCTGGAAAAGAATACAACATTACTAATAAGGCTATCAAAACTTTCTGCTATGCAGTAGAGGAGAAGTGTTTTTTCCCTAAACACCAAGTTTTTTCTAGATGAGATGAGGTAGTGGGTAGTGCAGGGAAGCCTATGCAAAGTCCTCTAGAGTCCTTCTAGAAATTGATGACAAAATCAAACAGCAAAATTCACATTTCTAATGTGATTTTTAGACATAAATATTGTCTTGCTTAGGTAGACAAAAAATAATAGCTTTCCCTTATGATGTTCCTTCAACTCAGCTTTTGAAAAGGGAATTTTATATGGAGAGGCTTTAAGCCTATTTTGCCTAAGAGACTGAAATGTGAAGCAATGGTCTGAATGTGTTCCTTACAAATGAGTGAACAGACCTGCTAAATTCACACAAATTAGCCCCCTAGAGTCTTCGTCTCCATGGGAATGTCAGATTTGGAAGCAGAGGCAGTTTCTTTTCCTCCTGTGAACTAGACTTAAGATTTAGTATTTATTCATTAACAGTATCCTAAAATTTTTATCTTGTTTTCAAAGCTAAAGACCTCCTTCTTAAAGCAGCTATTTCTCTCTGAAACTCCTCCTTGTGACACATTGTTGGCAGGAGTTAGGTCTGAAGTTAGAAGTTATAGGAAAAAGGTTTCAGACCAAAAGCCACACCCTGCCCAGGGAAAAACAATTCCTTTCCACCGCTCCTTTGTAATTAAGCAAGCCAAAACTGTAACTAGATAAATGAATTTCAAATCACCAGGAAAGTATTTTGAGCTTCACTTTTTAATATATATTAGGTGTAAGAAAACATAATGCAGGCTTTCTCTGCATGTACAAAGGCAATGGACCTCATGAATCCTAGCACTTCAGTGATTTTAAAAGTTTAACACTCCCTGCTCATGTTATTTTCAGCAAGATTACCTTCGAATAATCACGATTAAGATTGAGTTTATACTACCTTTAAATATTGTTCAAATGATCTGTATAATCCACCATGTATTACTGCCTATTACACATTCTTCAGTAGAAGAGAACTTTGTCCAAAATAAAGAAACAGTACAAAAAAATTAGGGTCTTTTATATGGACAGGGCAAAGTGCTGACTTTTTCAAAAGATATAAAAATACATAAGATTCTGTCCTGGCCCTCAAGGAGCCTTTAATCTAGAGGACTGAAGGCAGACAACATCACTGTGTGCTTTTTCCTACCCAGCATCCTCTCCTCCTCCTTCTGGGGTTCCCCAGGGAGACCACCTACCTTCCTCTTGGTCTGTGGGGGCAAATGGGCTGGCCTTAATAACCCGCGCCTCCGCAGCTGGACGCCTAAGTGCCAGCTGTCCTGGTTTGCCTCACACAGTGGTCTCCCTGGACCATGACTTTTAACAGCAAATCAGAAAAGTCACCAGCACATTGGAGCAAGCTGGTTACCCTAATTTAAGGCTCAGGTCTCTTGGATGCTGAGGCCCACGTTCTACCAATACAGCTTTAATAACAGGAAAGTGAAGAGCACAGTGTGGCTTTTACCATGTACCCAAGATTTCCCAGTAACTTCATATTGTCTTTGGGTGTGTGGGATGGCCATTTCAGGCTAACTTCCATCCTGAACATAGCTGTCCTTTGTTCTATGTGAGGAGCTAAAATGGCTGGGCCAGACTGGACAGACCTCTCAGGAATACCTAAACTAAGAACCCAGCTTCATTACGCAAACAGCCTTGTTAAACATATGTAAATGTCTGCTCCAGGTACCAGAGCATTAGATATTAAAATCCTTTCTAACATCTAATTAACATAAAAGATACGCATTCTCCATTGGCACCATTGTCCAGAGATACAAAAAGCTTTACAGAAGGGGTTAGCAGTACCTTCGTTGGGTTGTGTTCCTGGAGGTAAACAAATGGAACAGTTTAATAAGTGTAACTCTTTAGAGGAGATGATGGTTATAAAATCACAGGACCAGAGAGGGGCAGAGCATTTGGAGCAGTCAACCCATGCATCTTGTACCGGCCTGGGGCCACATCCTAAGACTCTGCAGACAGAGCAAGTGGGTGGGGGATGTCAAGAAATTCAGTAAAATATTTGGTTAGAAGAGAAAGTCAGAATCTTTTCTCTGCCTCAAGAAATGGCTTTTGGAGAAGAAGAGATGGATTCCCAGCCCATTTTCCAGGAGCCTGTGAATTCTGACCTCACCGTTGCTGTTTGGGCTGACAGTGGTCCTTAGCAATTCCACCCTTGGCTCTGAGCTCAGCTCCCCAAGTAACACCAGCATCATGGTTTCTAACACGTCCTCCCTCTCAGGTTTGGATGTTCTTCAGGGTCACTTGTTGTGGTCCAGCCTACGGGAATCACCAAGTTACTCACCAGAACCAGTGTCCTCTCACTGTCCCATCCCGTTCCTCCAGGACAACTCTCGGGCATTCCCCTCTCTTGTGCCCATTCACTGTCATTCCTGAATTTTCACCAGATTCACCTAATGGTTTACAGAAGCCCCAGTGACCCCTGAACTTCATATTCCTCTCCCACGTTTTCCTAACACCCAGCATCCTCTCTCAGTGACTCCTGGGGAGCACCCAGACCCATATAGGAGCCCGCTGGGTGTCACAGAGATTTGTATGGAAGCTCTCCTGTGTTCACCTGCAAGGGCTGACCCAGCAGAGCCCCGTAGCCTGGGTGGCTTTAAACACAGAAACTTATATTGGCTTTTGAAGACCTTAGTGCTCACTGGCCTGTGTCCCATGCATGGGTTACCTGATTGTTGCAGAACCCACTCACCTTGTCTTGTAACCAACTTTGTTCTGGGAACATCCCTGGATTCCTAACCCCATAGCCTAGCTTTTGACTTGGCGGCTTGCAAAGTTGCCCGTAACTTGACTGCTTCTTAACTCCTCCAACAGTGCCTCCTCTCCTCCCCCGACCTTGGTCTCCACCTCCTCAGCCCTTTCCTCTCTTCTCTGTTCCCCTATCTGGGCAAAGCTCTTGGGCATCACATCCTAGTGCTTAGCTCTGAACTCTACTACACATGGCCTCCCATCGCCTGCTCATCGTCATCTGACCCCTGAGTCTTTCTCCTTTGTTCCT